TTTTGTTGGTTGTGGGGCTTGAACTCTGGGCCTGGGTGCTGTCCTTCAGCTCCTCAGCTCAGGGCTAGCACTCTACCACTTTCAGCCACAGCACCATTTCCAGTTTTCTGGTGGTTAATTGGAGATGAGTCTCACAGACTTGCCTGAGCTGGGTTTGAACCATGATCCTCAGATCTCAGCCTCCTGAGTAGCTAGGATTACACATGTGAGCCACCACCGCCCGGCTATAGCTTTGGTTTGAGTTAGAAGAATATATATTGTGTCTGATACTTTCATGTAGGGTTAGCAGATTTCTAGCTGCCTGATGGTAGGAATGAATTCTATATATAGTCTTATCACCTGCTGTGCTAATTTTGCTCAGTACTATATAGCACTTAAAATGCAGGTGTGTTAGATAAATAGTGACATTATTTTTATGGGTTTTGTGATGTCAAAGAAATTCTTTGTTTTTTTAAAAAATAAATATAAAATGAGTTATCTATTGAGTTGTATAATAGAACCATTTTATGATCTACAAATTATACCTTAACAAACCTGTTAAAATGTGCTGTGATTTCTTTTGTTTGTGTAAATATTCCCTAATGCAAATTAAAATAAGAATGTGTAGCTGGGTACCAATACACCAAACATTATATTTAAGAATAAAATGAAGCTGGGCGCCGGTGGCTCACGCCTGTAATCCTAGCTACTCAGGAGGCTGAGATCTGAGAACCGCGGTTCAAAGCCAGCCGGGGCAGGAGAGACCATGAGACTCCTATCTCCAATAAACCACTAGAAAACCGGAAGTGGCGCTGTAGCTCAAGTGGTAGAGCGCTCGCCTTGAGCTGAAGAGCTGAGGGACAGCGCCCAGGCCCAGAGTTCAAGCCCCACGACCGACAAAAAAAAAAAAAAAAAATAAAATGAAACAATTCCCTTTGAGACTGGGGGTTAGACAAGGGATAACTATTACTAGCTTTGTTCCCATTGTACTGGGAGGTATGGTTAGTGTAGTAAACCATGCCAAAGAAACCAGAGCTGAAAGTATCAGAAAACTATAATGAGAGCAAAAAAAATATGACTGTTTTGAAAAAATTCTGAAAGACTACAGAAATATTATTAGAATTTCTAAGTGAGTTTAGCAATGTTGGATACAAAAATCAGTATGTAGGGGCTGGGAAGGTGGCAAGCGCTTGCCTTGCATGCCTGAGGCCCTGGGTTTGATTCCTCAGCACCACATAAGCAAAAAAAAAGAAAAAAGCCAGAAGTGGCGCTGTGGCTCAAGTGGTAGAGCACTAGCCTTGAGCTGAAGAGCTCAGGGACAGTGCCCAGGCCCTATTAAATATATACAAAAAAAAAAGAATGTTACATTCAAACTAGGGTAATGTTTATAATATTATTTTAAAAAAAACTTTTTTTGGTCTGTTATGGAGCTTGAACTCAAAGCCTGGGTACTGTCCCTTGAGGTTTTTTGCTCACTTACCACTTACCACTTTAAGCCACAGCTCCATTTTGGGTTTTCAGGTGTTTAATTGGAGATAAGAGTCTCATGGAATTTCCTGCCTGTGCTGGCTTTGAATCACAATCCTCAGATCTCAGTAGCCTGAGCAACTAGGATTACAGGCATGAGCCACTAGTGACAGGCCAATGAATCATTTTTAATGGTCACAATATTTACATTACTTTCAGGACGATCTTGATTATTTTCCTGTTTGTGGATTGTATTTTTATTGTAGCAATTTTCAGTATAAGGGGAAATAAATTGTAAATGCTAGAGTTTAAGAAAATTTGCGTGAGTGTGCTAAAGGCCAAAACAGCCTTGTACTACAAGCTGGGTAAACTTGGCCTATGAGTTGCTCAGATTTATTAGAAAGCCATAGAAACTAAGACAGTGGGAGAACTAAACAGAATTGGAGAATGAACTTACATGTATGTAAATACTTGATATATGCTAGAACTGTCATTTTACCTTAGTGAAGAAAGCATTTTTCCAAAAATGGTTCTGTCATATTAGCTATCCATTAAAATTCTACCTCACATCATAAATAAAAAACAGCTCCAACAATTAATACACATAAATAAAATAAATTATAGGAGGATTCAAAACATAAATGTACAAGGCAAAAAAACAAAACGTTTACAAAAAACTATGTTGATCTCATATAAGCCATATTGGAAAAAACTGGTAATCAAAGTACATTAAAATGAAGACCTTCCATTTATTAGAAACCACTATTAAGAGTAAAAACACAAACTATAAATGTAACTAATAAAGGATTAATATCAATTTTAAATATAAGTCTAAAACTCTGCAAGAAAAAGGAAAAATAAATCAATAAAAACATAGGCCAAGAGCCCTGGCTCAAGCAGCAGGGCACCTGCCAATGAGCATAAAGCATCAGATACTGAGTTCGAGTCCCAGTCTCACCACCCCTCACCCACAATATATACATAAATGTACATCTATACATGTATATATGCCAAAACCCAGAATAGTCACCTATGTAAAAAGAAAAAGAGGGGCTGGGAAGGTGGCTCAGTGGTAGAGCGCTTGCCTTGCATGCATGAGGCCCTGGGTTTGATTCCTTAGCACCATATAAGCAAAAAGAAAAAAGCCGGAAGTGGCACTGTGGCTCAAGTGGTAGAGCACTAGCCTTGAGCTGAAGAGCTGAGGGACAGCGCCTAGGCCCAGAGTTCAGGCCCCACGACTGGACCCCCCCCAAAAAAAAAGAAAAGAAAAAGGGCTCACAGTTGAATTTCAAAAGGACTTAAAGCCACGCCTATAATCCTAACTACTCAGGAGCCTCAGATCTAAGGATTGTGTTTCGAAGCCAGCCTTGGCAGGAAATTCCATGAGACTCATATCTCCAACTAAACCCCAAAAAAGCTGGAAGTGGAGCTGTGGCTCAAATGGTAAAGCACTAACCTTGAGTGCAAAAGTTCTGGGACAACATCAAGCCCTGAGTTTAAGCCCAGGACCAGCACAAAAACACTTAAAGCCATGAGTGATGGCCACAGCTGTAATCTTAGCACTGAGGCAAGAAGAGAGAATGAAGCAACAGGACCACAAGTTTGTTACATAGTGAGTTTGAGTCAGCTAAGTCTACATAGTGAGATCTTGTTTAAAAAATTCAATCATGCACCTCTGATGCATGCCTTCCTAGCTACTCAGGAGCCTGAAGTCCCGAAGATTATAGTTCAAACCAACTGGGCAGAAAAGTCTTTGTACTTTGTTATCACCAAAAAAACAGTAAAAAGCAGAGCTAGGAAGTATCTCAAGTGGCAGAATGTCAGCTGAATAAGCAAGCTCAACAAGTGCAAGGCCCTGAGTTCAAATCCCAGTACCAGAAAAAAACAAACAAGCAAAAATGAGAGAGAGATTTAACCTCATTAGTTATCAGGAAAGGCAAATGAAATAGTATTTCATAAATTGCAAGTCCTAAAAAATCCCAAGCATCAATAAACCTGTGGAGGAAACTCTTGAAACTAACCCAAATTTCATTGGAGTTGACATTTATTTATGTAGCAATGTTGGGCATCTGCAAGTCTCAGTTCCTGGAAATTCTTCTGGTGAGAAACTGTAGCATGAATGTCATTACATCAATATTTTATCCATCCATCACTGAATGCATTAAGGTGCATGCATGCAATATACATGTACCAACATGTATGAAACTCTACAAATAAAAACAATGTTGAAAAAAACAAATCATACTATTATTATTGTGCATTTACCAAAAGCATTCAAAGCAAGAAGAACTGAACTCTACTTTCAGGTATGCAATAATAGTTAACAAAACTATAAAGAAAGACGGGCACTGGTGGCTCACGCCTGTAATCCTATCTACTCAGGAGGCTGAGATCTGAGGATCGCAGTTCAAAGCCAGCCCGGGCAGGAAAGATTGTGAGACTCCTATCTCCAATAAACCACCAGAAAACCGGAAGTGGCGCTGTAGCTCAAGTGGTAGAGCGCTCACCTTGAGCTGAAGAGCTGAGGGACAGCGCCCAGGCCCAGAGTTCAAGCCCCACGACCAACAAAAAAAAAAAAACAAACTATAAAGAAAATCAAGAGAATGATTACTTCAAAATTCATCTGGTGGAAGAGGGTGAGAAGACAAGGGGAGTGATTAGGGAGGGACACATAGGGTTGCTTTAAGAGACTGGAAATAAGTATGCTTCATTTTTTACCTGGATAATGAGAAGAAAGATAATCATTAAATTCAAGTTATTCTTTACATTCATACATGTAAGTTGTGTCCTCTTTTGTGTATATTTTCACTGTTTTAGGAAAGGAAAAAAATCTTAGCACCCAGAGCTGAACCCACATTTTAGACAATCACCTCACTATTTGGGACAGCTCTGCCTCTGACTGATTTGCACCAAAGTGTACATCTACACCTGTTCAATTTGCTATCATTTGATCTGGCCTTCTAGTCAGTCAAGCTTTTTTCAGAGCTATTCTGTCTGTCAATCAGGGATCAGCTTCCAGGGAAACTGATGTACTGAAATTTCCAAACTGGCCGGGTGAAGATCCAAATGACAGCAGATGGATATGGCAACCCTTCTGAAAACCCTTCTGAAAAGCTAAGTCAAAGTAGCATCCCTCTGCTTCTCCTGAGGCAATTTGCATATAACCTCAGCCTAATTTTTTCTCTCATGGGAAACATCTGCCAATCTCTTATCAAGGAAAGCAGTATTTCACACTGGGCTATGTTGATAAGATGATCAGAGAGACTCACTTTAGAAGACTGCTACTTCCTGAAGGGGTAAAATCCCCAAGAGGGAAAACCCCTGTGGTTCTCATAGGTAGGGCTGTCTTACTTAAGTTGCTACACAGTTCTGTCCAGAGGAGGAAGACAAACTACACTTATCTATTTCCTGAAAGCTTTGTGAGTAGATGTGCATCCTTCACATCTTAAGGACTCACAGACCTTGTAAGAAGACGGACAGCTCAACCTGAAGGACTTCTTCAGGATCCAGACTTCTAATCTGCCCTGCTTAGAGAGGCTCCAAACCACTCAACAATGGCAAGCTGGGTGGTTCACCATTGGTTCTCAATTTTGTTTCTGGTATGTGATGTTTTACTTCATATTAATTAGGAATGTTCACAGAATAAGAATACAGCATGTCTGAAGACAATTGTAAAGTTATCCTTAATGGGATGAGTTGATGACTGTTAGTTGGCTCCACAAAGCTGGTTATCAGTTAGAAAAAAATCCAACTCTAGACCAGATGAGGGAACAAAGATATATTACAGTTGTTTATGTTGCCAACCCATGAGTACTTAGAATTTGTCTGTTTCTATTTTATTACTTCTTTTCTCTTTCATCTCACTTCTAACTACTGCCATGAAATATTGATTTCTATTTATCTTTCCTACACTGCTATCAACAAGATTTCACAAAATAATTGTGTTTTTGAGTTTGGGAGTCATTTTAGATATCATGTTGACCTAGCACTGCCTATTGGGAGTATATTACGACTCACATATCTAATTTCTATATTTTATAATACATACACTGAGAAGAAGTAAGAAGAGACAGATGAAAAATTTTACAATGTAATTCATTTGACTCAATATGTAGAATATTAATCTTTTAACATGCAATCAATATTGACCATGAGATCATTTTCTTTGGAGGCTGGTTCTGGACTTGAACTCAGGGTTCCCTTCTTTCACTTGGCATTTTCTGCTCACTGAACATAGCAGGTATATTGCCACCTGTACCATGCTTTCACTTGTGGCTTTTGCTGGTTAATTGGAGATGAGTTTCATGGACATTTTTGCCCAGACTGGCTTTGAACCACAATCCTCAGATCTCAGCCTCCTGAGTAGCTAGTGTTACGAGTATGAGCCACCAGCACAGATATTTCTATTATTTGTTCCCAGTCTCTGGACTGCCATTTTTTATATTTTATACTCACAGTGTATCTCAATTAAAATGAGCTACATTTCAAGTGCTCAGTAGTCACATGTGGGTAGTGGCTCCAGCATTACCCATTGTAGATATAAAACAATGCCTTGATTATACAAAGTAAGGTAATTTGATGTCTTTGAATTAATTAGCAAACATGTTCAGAACTTCTCCAATATCTCACTGATGTACATTCTCTTCTCAATTCGCTCTCTCTCTCTTTCTCTGTCTCTCTCTGTCTGTCTCTGTCTCTCTCTTTCACACACACACACACACACACACACACACACACTTCCCCCCCCCTCTCACACACACACACACACACACACACACACACACACACACACACCTTCTTCCTACTCTTCATTCTTTCACTTCTGAGATTCACCTCAGCCTAGGGGATCCTTGTGTCCTTTCTTTTCCAAGGACTCTTTTTTTCTCTTGCATTTATTTTTTGTTGTTTTGGGTCCTGTAGTGGGGTCTGAACTCTGGGCCTGGGCTCTGTCCCTCAGCTCTTCAGCTCAAGACTAGCACTCTAACACTTGAGCCACAGAGCCACTTCCTGGCTTTTTTCTTTTTGCTTATGTGGTGCTGAGGAATCAAACCCAGGGCCTCATGCATGCAAGGCAAGCACTCTACCACTGAGCCACCTTCCCAGCCCTTCTCTTGCATTTTGTGGGGGTCTCATGAGATCCTAGATGTCCCAGAGAAAAAAATGCAGTGTGCCTCTGGAGGGCTGTTTGTTTTGCAGTTATTCCCAGGCCAATTGCTTATTTTGGGAAACTAGTCCATGATTTGGAATTGCAACACCAAAAGCCTTATATTTAGTTCCTTTTGCGCTGTAGCAGAGGGAGCATGAGATTATGCACTAGGGGAACCTGGAAAGTCCTTTCTGTTCTGCTGCTAAGTGGCCTCTAGCCAATTGTTTGTTTTCTCCAGACTTCAGGTGCCATGTGGTGGTGGAGGTGATAGGTGGTTTGGTGAAGTATGGGATTAATAAAGTGACTATTAATGTAAGGGTTTTTCTAGCTATAAATCCCATTGCATTTTTTACCCCTCTCAATTTTTTGCTGGGGAATCTATTGTTTACGGTGATAACTCATATTAACTCTATAGTTTTTCATCTCCACACTTTAACAACACTATTGGCAAGCTCAGCCTTCTTGCTACCTTTGACATACATATATACTGTGTTTTAAAATAAAGAATAAGTTGCTTAAAAAAATCCTACTTCTTCCCAAGTCCTGTATTTTCACCTTCTTTTCCATCCCTAGTGGAGGGAATGATAGCCAAGGTGGGAAACAGAATTCCTTATTCTTAGATGCTGCTGTATTACATTATTTACTTTGCCTACATTTGATGATGGGATGATAGAGTTCTTTGTTTCTGCATCCCTCTCTGATCCTGAAATATTTCTGCTCCTTCTAAAAAAGCTTTTATTTTTTTCCAAATTCTTGAAGTATCTGTATCTTTCAATTTTCCTTTCCCTCTTGAGTCAAAGAGTGTCTAAAAGACACTCAGCTCTAGAAATGATTCTGAGTAAAGGAAACCAGGAAGATATTGATTGGCAGCCAGATATGGTGGGGTATGCCTCTAGTTCCAGACACTCTGGAGGTTCAGGTGAAGGATTGCTTAAGCCCAGGAATTCAACACCAACCTTGTCTAGACTAGCCACATCAAAACCCATCTCAAATAGAAGGTTGGAGGAGGGAGAAAATTTGATAATTGAAGCCAGTTTAGTAATGCTGCAATTCTGTAGCCAGAGTAATTTATTAAGCTCTTACCATATAGCATGCATTGCATTAATCAATTTACATGCTTTATTGAATATGAGACTCATAGTGTTACTGGGAGGTAGATATTTTCATTATTTCACAGGTGTGAAACTAATGTTCAGAGAATTTAAACCATGTATCTGTAAGATAACAAAGCCAGTACGTGATAGCACAAGAATTTGAGAGCAAGCAGTTTGTTTCCAATATTGTACTTAGATTCACTATACTGTGCTATTAGAGGCCAGGATCTGGCGACTCAGAATGGGCTGAACTGTTTCTCATAAAGACTTGAGCAGGACTATTTCTCAAGGTATCCTAGTGTCATTTAGATGTGCTGAAGTACAAACTATCACAACCAATATGAGCTAGAACTCAGTTGGGTGGTCTACAAAAGCAGTGAGCAGTGGGCTCCAAATTTCCCCCTTTAAGCAATGTAGACACAGAACTTTGGACAGGCAAATGCAGTTTTAAAAGCTCAAAGGAATCCAAAACAACACTCAGTTAATTTGGGGGATAAAAAGATTTACAATCTAAAAACAGGACAATGTGTGTCAGTAAGTAATTAAGGAATGGTTTAGTACTTTTCAGATGGGTATTAATTGTAGATGCTAAATTTCTTTGTTTCTTCAGCAATTTGCTCACTACTATCTTTCAAATGCAATACTTTGAAAGCTGTAGACCAGGAATTGGCTAATGTTTCTATACAAATTTGGACAGAACATAACTTAGGCTTTTATGAGCCATATGGTGAGTCCTGGTTACTCATCTCTGCCATTGTGTCCTGAAACAGCCATAAACAATACAGAAATAAGTAGGTGTGGCTGTTTGAGTAACCATTTACAGTTACTAAAATTTGAATTTCATATAATTTTCTTGTCACAGAATATTATTTTTCTGATTTCTTCAGCTAACACTGAACCACACCTCCACTGACTGCTTTTTGGTGGTTAATTGGAGCTTAGAGTCTCACAGACTTTTCTGCCTGGGCTGTTTTTGAACCTTGACTCTTGGATCTCAGCCTCCAATGGCAAGGATTACAAGCATAAGCCACTACCCGGCTATTTATTTTAAACAGACAGAAAAGAAAACGACGAAGGGATAGTAAAGACTCAGAAGAGAGACCCCAAAGAGGCATCCAATGGAGTCCTCTCAGAGAGTGGTTTTTATAGTACAGGAATCCTCCCATAGCTCCTCTCCTGGGCTTTTCACTGATTGCTTGGTGGCTTGTGCACGTGCTGCCCTGGCTCTTTTCATAATGCCTAGGGCATTATGGGAAGAAGTGTTTGAGTGGTAGCCCGAGGCATTATAGGAACAAGAGCACCTTGATGGGCCACTTGTTATCTGCCCTGTGTTGTGTCCATCACGTTTTATTCCCTATCTACCTAGTAGTACTCTCTTTTTTTCCTCATTCCTCTTAGATGGAAACCCTAACTGCTATTAATAGAGGTGGTTAACCACTTCAGACTACTCCCTGCTTCCGTAGTCTGAAATCCTCTGGAATCTTTTTTTTTTTTTTGGTCGGTCGTGGGGCTTGAACTTTGGGCCTGGGCGCTGTCCCTGCACTCTTCAGCTGAAGGCGAGCGCTCTACCGCTGAGTTACAGCGCCACTTCTGGTTTTCTGGTGATTTATTGGAGATAAGAGAGTCTCACGGACTTTCCTGCCCAGGCTGGCTTTGAACTGCGATCCTCAGATCTCAGCCTCCTGAGTAGCTAGGATTACAGGCGTGAGCCAATGGTGCCCGGCAGATGCTCTGGGATCTTTGAGGTGTAGGTACTGAGCCCTACTAACTCTGCTCATTAGTGCCAAATAACTAAAAGCACTTATTCTGAAATTAGGTTCTATCCTCACTGAATTGTACTCACTGCAAATGAAAACAGAAAATATAATAAAACTATTAGCACAAAATAGTAAAAAAAATGTTGCCACTATTTCTGTTCCTTTCCAAATTCATGTATTTCTTGATTTTTTTTTTACTCTAGGTTGTTTGGTTAGGGCTGAATATTTACCTGTTTGTATCTGCATTTTTAAATTTTGAGAAGAATGAAAAGTACTATTACACAAGAGAAATTCTTGGGGTAAGTATTGTAGTTGTGAAGAATTTCTCTCTTTTTTAGGTGGAGTTTTGCTGTTTAAAGCTACACTGGCCTGAAATTTATTAAGTAGCCCAAGCTGGCATCAAATTTATCATTTCTATCTCTACCTTTGGAATATCTGGAATTACATGTACATACCAGCAGATTTGACTATTTTTTAAGTCTCTAATACCTGCTCTTTGTGACACAATGTTCTAATTTTCTTGTAGACTAGGTTTACCAGAAAAAACAGAGTACTTATTTAAAATTGAATTTCAGGTAAACTGGATCATTTTTACATGAATATGTAAATATGAATATAAACATAGCTATACAAATGTGCGTATTTTTAATATGAAATTGAATCTATTTGGATATTCTGTATTTTTATTTATTAAACCTGACCCTGTCCTAATCTGGAGGATTTTCTCAGCCCCAAAGGAAGACATAAAATAAAGAAAACCATTAGGTGGTGGTTTTCCATCAGATTTTCAGCAACTCAGGTGCCCCTGCCCCCACTTAAGAGTTTATGGACTCCTGCTTGATTATTTTTTGCCAGTCCTGGGCTTGAACTCAGGGACTGGGCACTGTGCCTGAGCTTCTTTTGCTCAAGGCTAGTACTCTACCACTTGAGCCACAGCGCCACTTCTGGCCTTTTCTGTTTATGTGGTACTGAGGAATCAAACCCAGGGCTTCATGCATGTTAGGCAAGCACTCTACCACTAAGCCACATTCCCAGTCCTTGATTTTAAGAAAAAATTTAGTTGAAGGAAATAGACAAGAAGGAGGAAAAAGAAGAGGAAGAGGAGGAGAAGGGAAGAGAGAGGGAGAAGATTGTAAAACAGGAAAAATTAAAAACAATTTGAGAACAATGTGTGGACTAATGTCACCTATAGAACAAGAGGGATACTTCAGATACATATTGGGTCTCAAGAGCAGGTAGAACTGCAAAACTTGAGATCTGCAGGAAAATAGGGTCAGGTCAGAGGAACAGAATGGAGAAAGTGGAAGTTCAAGTTCAGAAGGGGAAAGAGTGAGCCTCACACAAGAATATGAAGGTCATCAGGAAGTCTGGAGGTGAGACAGATTCTTCCAAGGCTGATGTATGTGGGCCAAACCTAATAGCTATCTGTACTCTACTATGCACTGACAGGTAAGGGATTTGGCTAAATCACTTTCATCTTGTTGATTCTTTTTAAAAAAATTAGGTTTCCACAAAGAATCCTCAATGCACATATTTGAAGATAGTTCATCTTGTTTTCTCTTTGTGATCGAAGGATCCACGTGGAGATCGCAATGAATTTGAATATTCTGCTCATGACTTATTTCACCCTGCTGTTTTTTTTCATTTTAAATATTTGTCCTTGATGTCTTTTTAGAAAGTAAATCTCCAGAGGAAGTATTAATTTGTCTTTAAATAGGTTTTTACTAAGAGAATGATGCAATAAATGTGACTAGGTATAAAAACCTGATTACTATAGGACTAAAAAGTCAGCAGCAGAAACATGAATCATACTGATTTCCTGTGGTTTTATTTTTTAAGCCTCATTTAAAAATTAATTATAAATGATGATGCTTTCAAGGACAACTAGCCACATAGAAATATATCAGTAGGATATGAAAATCCCTCTCCCATTCAACTTCTGAGAGCTAACTGCTATTGATAGTTGGGTGTGTTTATAACTAGACATACTGATTTATATTCATAAATACACAAGACACATAGGATTTGTTTTTATTTTTGAGATAAGTACTATTGTTTATATATATATATATATATATATATATATATATATTTTTTTTTTTTTTTTTTTGCCCAGTACTGGAGCTTGAACTCAAGATATGGGCACTGTCCCTGAGCTTCTTTTGCTCAATCCTTGCACTCTACCACTTGAGTCACAGAACCACTTCTGGCTTTTTCTGGTTATGTGGTACTGAGGAATCATGCATGCTAGGCAAGCACTCTACTACTGAGCCACATTCCCAACCCCATTCCTTTTAGTTGTTGTTGGTCCTGGGCTTGAATTCAAGGCTTAGGTGCTGCCCTAAGCTTCTTTTGTTTAAGGATAGTGCTCTACTACTTTGAGCCACGGCTCCACTTCTGGCTTTTTTAGTAATGTATTGGACATAAGAGTTTTATGGACTTTCCTGCTGGGCTGGCTTCAAACCATGATTCTCAGATCACAGCCTTCCAAGTAGGTAGAATTATAGGTGTAAACCACTGGCTTGGTTATACTGTACACTTTTAATTTCCATATTGTGAGTTTTGGTTCTTCTGTATAGTTCTATATATTTTTATAAATAGAAATAAATTTCTTTAACCATTTCATTATTTCTTATTGATTTTTAAAAATCGCTTTCCTCAAAGGCTCCTCAATGCACATATTTGAAGACAACTCATCTTTAAAAACAAACACTTTTCTATTTGTAATCTAAGGATCCATTTAGAGATCACAATGAATAGTGCAATATTATAGATTGGCTAGACAATCATTTTTACACTTCATGTATCTCAAATATCTTTCCCTGTGAGCAACTCAGCAGTTGTGGGTTTCTCTTCCCAAGTCTGCATTCAATGGTGTTTAATGCCAATGAAATCTACTATGGTGGGATTCATTGCATTTTCAAAATAAGCAGATGCTGGAAATGGGAAATCTGCCTTCCCACAAGAGCTAGTTGTTCAAGCATTTAGTACCACTATATCACAGCATATAGCTCTCAGCCTTTGAAGAAAGCCACAGGCCAATGCACTGGTGTACTACAAGTGATTCAATTATTTGATAGGGTGGGTTTTTGTTTGAGACAGGACTTAGGATTGAACTCAGGGCCTTGTAGTTGTAAGGCTGACAGTCTGTCACCTGAACCACATATCCAGCCCCCTTTCACATTGGTTATTTTTGAGGTAGAGTCTCACTTTTGGCCTGGGCTGTGATTGATAGGGTAGTTTTAAATTCATATTCCCCTTGGGAGAAAATATGGATTCCCTTTGAACCAGATCAAATCAGTGACAGAGGAAGTAGTAGAAATCCAAAGTCACAGAGACATTCATAATAGCAGCATTTCAATTATAGCATTGGTGAGAGCTGATAGAGAGAAATGAATATACATTGAGATATTCCAGCATGCTGCAATATCAAAAAGTTTTCTTAACAAAAAACCCATCGTGTACAGATAGCTGCCACAGCATACAGAAGTATGAAATTATAGTCCTATATTGTCAATTCACTTACCAATTTTAGCTTGAAGAAACATCTGTAACTCAAATAAGTAAGCCGTGGGAACCAATGTGAAAATGTGGGCTCTCTGAGATGAATTACTCAGAAATGGAACCAGCTGTCTCTACCAAAACCAATCAAAGTGTGACTCAGCGCACAAGTCATGAGGAAGAGCATAAATGGAAAGCCAATGGGGCAGCTCTTGCTCACTTCATCGCCTGCTTAGCTGGTCATTATGGACACTAGATCTTCACCTGGCTTATTAATTAATGTCATGTTGCCCTGGGTTAAGTTGTTTGGAAAAATAGTTTTTGTGTCTTGAAGATTATTAGAGAGGACATCAGTGGTTCACACCTATAATCCTAGATACTCAGAATGCTGAGTTTCAAGAATCAAGGTGTGGAACCAGCCTGGGCAGAAAAATTGGAGACTCTTGTCTCCAGCTGACTGCACAAAGCTAGAAATATAGGTGTGGCTTAGGTGATAGAACCTGAGAGAGTGAGGGCCAGAGTTCAAACCTCAGTGCTGACAAAATAACCCACAAAACAAAATAAAACATACAACAAACAGGACAAAATATTAGAGAAAGGTTGGGAAATTATAAACTTGAACCATTGTGTGTGTGTGGGGGGGGGTGTGCGCGCGCGCGCACGTGTGTATGCATGCTCACCAGTGTTGGAGCTTGAATTCAGGGCTTGGGCTCTGTCCCTTAGTGTTTTTGCTGAAGGCTAGCACTCTAAGCTACAGTTCTACTTGCAGGTTTTTTTTGTTTGTTTGTTTTGTTTTTAGTTTAGTGGAGATAAGGGTCTTACAGACTTTCCTGTTTGGGCTGGCTTCAAACCATGAGCCTCAAGTCTCAGCCTCCTGAGTAGCTAGGATTCCAGGCATGGGTCACTAGTGGCTGGTCATACTTATTTTTTGAGTCTCCAGGTACACATGTTAAGACTGGCCAGCAAGAGGAAGTGCAAAAAATATTACTTCATTGTCATCCACACTTTGGCTTAGTACTACAATCTTGTTTCACTCTGTAGCCTGAGATCAAAGTACACCTACAGACGCAGAGACCACTAATACACAGTTGAAAGGTTGATCTTAGTTACCAAAGAATTGTTACTGTGTCTAGCCTATACCTAGTCAGGCTTGTTTCTTGGCTTTATCTTTCTATAAAGCACTGACTTCTCTCCTTTTAGAAGAGAAGCTTTTATTGATGGATCAACTTGCTCTTAGTTTATGCCATGTGGAGAAATCAGCTTGGAAATTCTGTTCTTAGATGTTCTACTTTTTCAGGGCTGGAGATATAGCTCTTGGCAAAGTGCTTGCCTAGCATGCACTAGGCCTTGGCTCCAAAACAAGAAAAGATCTCTCTTCCAAAACAAGAAAAGATCTCTCTTCCAAAACAAGAAAAGATCTCTCTTCTAAATTTTTAAGAATCTTGCTCCAAGGGGTTTACTAGTCTTGACTAAGCTCTCTCTAGTATTCAAAGATATCAAATATAATGGTTATTATTTTTGTTGTTTCTCTTCAATAATGATTACATTCTTACAGTTTCAATATTAGAAAATACAGAAAAGAGAATAAAATGGTCACCATCTAAAATCGTATCATTACTTTTGATCTTTATTTAAAATGAACATAAAAGCATATGTGATCCTCCAGATTATTTTAGGGAGGACAAATAAGACTATAATTGTGTTGAATGAAAATTCTCTCTATAAAATATTATGTTTATAGAATGCATTTGTGAATATGGAATCACTTTAAATTCTATTTTCTTTTACATTGATAAATATATGATCAAACATTTTCAAACCACTGTCATGAGAGTTTCTCAGGTATTAGGTCCAGCACATTTTCTGTCTTTTGCAGAGAGATAGGCCTGAATGTGCTAGCCACTGAGAGACAGAGACAGAGACAGATAGAGAGACAGACACAGAGAGAGAGACTGGAAAGCTGCAGAAAACTGTACCTGTATCCATTTGCAGGTCTTTGATGAGCGTGATGGGCCAGTATTTACCAGGTAGAAGCTAGATATAACAGCTAACTCTCTTTTTTTTTCTTCTCTGCTCTAGACAGCATTGGCCGTGGCCCGAGCCTCTGCTCGTTGCTTGAATTTTAACACCATGCTTATCCTGATTTCTGTGTGTCGTAATCTGCTGTCATTCTTGAGAGGCACCTGCTCAGTGAGTCCCAGCTATGCCTATGTCGACTTTCACATTAAAGAAACCCTGGCACCCCCATTAGGCCAGTCCAACACTAAGTCCCTGGGAATGGAAGCTAAAGGTCTCCTTTGGTGACTAAGGGAGTGGACAAAGATGGTTAGCTATTGGCCAGTTCAGTCTAAATCAAATTTATGATGGGTTACTTAGTGACTCTCACAAGACTGACTGGTGATACCTAACCACAATCACTTTACCTTTGTAGTTTTGCAACCGCACATTGAGAAAGCCATTGGATTACAATCTTACCTTCCATAAGCTGGTGGCGTATATGATCAGCATATTCACAAGTAAGTCAGGACAACCACAAAACTTTGGGCTTCAGGGCATTCAGAATCTAGCTTCATTTATCCACATATATATATATATATATATCCATATATATTAGAAATTATTGAACACCTGTATCATTTGCCAGGAACTGTTCTAGACCTATGATCACAGCTTACACTCTATTCCTTTGGGAAATGAAAAGGATTTTGGAACTGCACCACCTGTGGCCTCTGATTTCTACTAGGCACTACATATAGGACTCTCATGTTCTGATGGGGCATGCCTGCCACAATGGTCCAGAGACACAACCTGGCTTTACAACCTGGCTTTTCATCTTTCCATTTAGTTATTCACATCATTGCACACCTGTTTAACTTTGAGCGCTACAGTGGAAGCCAACAGGGCCCAAATGGATCTCTGGCCTTTGTTCTTTCTAGCCTGTCTCATCATGACAAACAGGGAAACTCTTGGCTAAATCCCTTCCAGTCCCCAGATGTGGTGAGTTGGGTCAATGGCCTCTGGGAGCTGCTTCCCATGATCTCTGGGAAGGTCATGGGATCTTTGGTGGACAGTGGGTCAGGCTGACATTTCTCTTCTCACAGACAGTGATGTATATGACATTCACTAGTATTGCTGGTCTCACTGGAGTGATCATCACATTAGCTTTGATTCTCATGGTAACCTCAGCTACAGAGTTTATCCGAAGGAATTATTTTGAGCTCTTCTGGTACACCCACCACCTTTTTGTCATCTATATCATCTGCTTAGTGATTCATGGCATTGGGTAAGGTCTTAATGTCCTTTTGTTACTATCCCGGGCCTCAACCTTGTATAATTCATTTTCTAAATGGTTCTTCTTTGTGTTTGTTGTTCCAGTGGAATTGTCCGTGGTCAAACAGAGGAAAGCCTGGTTGATAGTCACCCCAGTGAATGTGCAGAGTCTTTTCAGAAGTGGGGTGAGAATAACTCGAACTGTAAGCATCCTCGATTTGAGGGACACCCCCCTGAGGTAAGAACATTGTGGATGAGGACAGACTCTTGTTAGGAACTATTGCTATTGTTCATGTTACTCAGATTAGAACCGCTATTTTTAGCTCAGTCCTGGACTGGTTCCAGAAAGGATTATCTACAAGTTTCCTAACTTCAAGTAACTTGCGATATAATTACCACTAGGCAGGCAGCAGGGGATTTTGCAGAAGAACTGATGATTGTTGCATGTGTATCCCCCATAGTAGGAAGAATGGGCCCCCACATTCCTGATAGCACTATGTCCCAGTATTACTGTATAGTGTGCCTATCTGTAAGGCAGATGCTTGACTTGCCTCCATTTTAGACAATAGGACAAGTATTCTAATAGATAAGTAAAGTCATAGTAAATAACAGACTTTAAATTTAAGGCATTTCAGAATCCAAAGATTAAACTCTTCATCACAGTATTATCCCTAAGCTCAGCTATGAAATCCTGGACAAAATTTCACAGAGGAAAGAAAAGCTTTTAAAATGTATTTATTTATTTATTGGACAATATTGATGCTTGAATTCATGGTGTTCCATTTGTCAGACAGCTGCTCTACTGGAGTCCTGCCTACCGTTCCTGATTTTTGCTCTTTTTTTTTTTTTTTTGGTCAGTCCTGAAGCTTGAACTCAGGATTTGAGCACTATTCTTGAGTTCTTTTTCTCAAGGCTAGCACTATACCACTTGAGCTATGGCACCACTCTGGCTTTTTCTGTTTATGTGGTACTGAGAAATCAAACCCAGTGCTTCATGCATGCTAAGCAAGCACTCTATCACTAGGCTGCATTCCCAGCCCGAGTTTTGCTGGTTAATTGGGGCAAAAGACTGCATGGGCTGGCTTTGAACAGCAATTCTAAGATCTCAGTCTGCTGAGTAACTAGAACTACAGGCATGAGCTACTAGCATCTGGCTCTAGTTTCTTTCTTTTCTTTTTTGTGTGCTGCACTGAGCTATGGTCTGAGAAGTTGGTTTTGTGAGCTCTGCTGTCTGGGCTGGCCTCAAACCACAATTTTCTGGTTCTCAGCCTCTTAAGTAGCTAAGATTACAGGTGTGAGCCACCCCTGCTGCTCTCACATTTACCTTTTCTGTTTGTTTTTCAATGGGCAAGTTGTCCTGGAAAATAGTCTTAATTTTTCAAAATTTAATTATAAGTAAAAAGACAAAAGCCAGAAGTGGTGCTATGGCTCAAGTGGTAGAGTGCTAGTTCTGAGCTGAAGAGCTGAGGAACAGCGCCCAGGCCCAGAGTTCAGGCCCCACGACCGGACCCAAAAAAAAAAAACAAAATTTAATTATATATTTATATATACTGTAAGAATATGTATGCATGCATGTGTATACATATGAGTGTGCACATGTATATGTTTTATTTGTGTCTTTTGCTTTTGCTTCAGGGAATTGTCTTATGAGTAACAGATTAGGATACTCACTTTCATTTGTATCTGAATATTAGTGGCTTGATAATGATACACAGCAGAGAACTTAATATTCACTGGATGAGTGGAGGAATGAAGTACTATGCATACAAGTCCTAAATGGGAGATTGATAGGTAACCTCATTCTTTCCTTTTTTTGTAGTCTTGGAAGTGGATCATTGCCCCATTTATTCTATATGTCTTTGAAAAATTCCTGCGGTTTTGTCGTTCCCAGCAGAAGGTTGTGATAACCAAGGTAAAGAAGTACCCACTATCCTTTTGCTGTTGTTAAGAGTTCTAGTCTATCTGAGAATAGAACTTAATTGTCATAATGCCTTCTCCTGAAGGGAACAGGAAAAACTTAGGGTTGAGACAACATACCAGTGCTGGATACAGTTATGGGAGAAAGAAGTTTTATAGAAACTACCAGGACAGGTTTATACTGAGGATGTAATAGGTGGTCTGATTCAGATCTAGCCTATGGATGTATTTTAATTTATCTACACAATGTTTAACTGGGGTTTGAGGTTGTATACAGTGCTAGAGTGCTTCCATAGTATGTGCAAGGCCCTGGGATGGATTCCCTAGACAAAACAAAACTAACAGACTGAAAACCAACAACTAACCAACACTAATAACAAAACAGTTTGCCAGTATTTAAAATATAAACGGAAAAAAAGACATGCCTTCTGGGCATGGCAATGCATGGGTACATGACTATAATCCCAGTATGAGGGAGGTGGAGATAGGAAGATTGTAGTCCAGGGCCAGCCTGAGAAAACTTGAGACCCTATCAGAAAAATAAACTATAAACAAAAGGATTGGGTGCATGTCTCAAGTGACAGAGCATTTGAAGCTATGATTTCAATCCTCAGTACCACCAAAAAATAGGAAACCTGCTAACACTGAATCTAGGTTGTATATTGTGTTCTTTGGAGCTAAATAGCTGCTGCCCCCTTGAGAAGGGACTTGGCCTTGCAATTTACACTTTCACTAGTTCTCCACCTTTGCTCATTTATTGTGTTTGCTCTTGTACATTTTCTGAGTTTGCCTTCAATGATCTCTGTGTTTCATTCACAGGTAGTTATGCACCCATCCAAAGTTCTGGAATTGCAAATGCTGAAGCATGGCTTTAGTATGGAAGTGGGGCAATATATCTTTGTCAATTGTCCTTCAATCTCTTTCCTGGAGTGGCATCCCTTTACTCTGACCTCTGCTCCAGAGCAAGATTTCTTTTCCATTCATGTCCGAGCAACAGGGGACTGGACAGAAAATTTCATAAGGGCATTTGAACAACAGTATCCACCAATGCCTAGGTAGGTCCTATAGACCAGCAGAGACTTCCATCAGGTAAGAGAATAATTGAAATAAGTGGCAGCAGACTGCTGAGGGATGGGTGTTTCTGGGACAAAGTTTGAGGTAGAGAGGAGAGATGAGACTTCTCTTGTCTATTGTCTCCTGTCTTCTGCTAGGATCAAGGTGGATGGACCTTTTGGCACAGTCAGTGAGGATGTTTTCCAGTATGAAGTGGCTGTTATGGTTGGGGCAGGAATTGGGGTCACTCCCTTTGCTTCCATCCTGAAATCCATCTGGTACAAATTCCAGCATGAAGATCACAAACTCAAAACACAAAAGGTATGCACTACATATCACTTTACATCTGGCCTGTGCCTGACTAGACTCAAAACTTTATGGGGAATATACTCTTTAGATTTAGGAGTAAGTGATGGGCTCAACCAAGGGCCCAGGGTAGTCAGGCAGTCTCTCCCGGCAGCAGCTTCTGAGGAGTGAAAGCCCTCCCCCTAACAGGCTTCCAGCCCTAAGCTGTGCCAGATGTTTCATTTGCAAAGCCAGACCAGGTCCCTGTCATGTGTCTGGGACTTGTTTTATTATATTTAATTTTTATTATTATAAAGGTGATGTACAAAGGGGTTATAGTTATGTAAGCAAGGTAATGAGTACATTTTTTCTTTTTTCTTTTATTTATTCTTTTAAAACTTTTATTGTAAAGGTGATGTACAGAGGGGTTACAGTTACATAGGTAAGGTCGTGTGTGGGATTCGTAATCCTGTGGTGAAGCTGACCACCTAGGCTGACTGCATAGAGACACAGAAGTAGTGCAAGGAGCACCTGCTGCTATCCCTCCACCTCCCCATCCCCACCATGGATTGCATCTTACTCTGTGCTCCCAAGACACACTCGGTACATTAGTCCTGGCACCCATGCTGGAGGTAGCACTTACTCTGACTGACTCATGCAAAGATAATTGCTATGTGATTGCTAGTTATTACCAAGCTAATGAAAGAAAGAAGAATGCCAGTCTAAATGAGGTCTCAAAGAAGGTTTCCTCCAGAATTACTGTGGCTTTCAGCGACACTCTGTCCTTCACCATATTTCCTATGATTATCAACTATCCCTTTGAAATGCTCTTGAATTTTGATAACCACCTGGATGTCCTTTGGACAAATCCCAAGATCAATAATGCAGTTCTGCACTGTGGCTAGACAAAGATAGAAGTGACTGCCCTAAGCATTTCCATTGTGTTGAACAAGAAACCTATTTTTAAGTGTAAACAGAATACTATACATAGCCAGATGGGAAACTAGTGCTTTGTAAGAGGTGGAATGTCCAGTCAATATTTTTTTCAGTGCAGAGGCTGTAGGAGAGACAAACTGGCCTCATGGGTTTTCTCTCATTCATTTACCACTCCAATCTTCTAAATCAAAGATATTTCTGCTTGCGTAAGACTTTGCCAATTTTAACTAACCTTTTATAATCTAGAGAGAATGCTTGTGTGTGTGTGTGTGTGCATGTGTGTGCAGGTGTGCAGGTGTGCATGTGTGTGTGTGTGTGTGTGTGTGTGTGTGTACATGCATGGTGTGTATGTGTGTGCCAGTGCTGGGTATTGAACTTAGGGCATGGGTATATCTCTTAGTTTTTTTTTTGTGTTTTTTTTTTTTTTTGCTGAAGACTGGTGCTCTCCTACTTGAGCCACAGCTCTACTTCCAGCTTTTTGCTTTTGAATGAGATAACAGTCAAATGGACTTTCCTACCCAGCTTGTCTTCAAACTGTGATCCTCAGATCTCAGCCTCTTGAGTAGGTAGGACAAAAGGCATAAGCCTTTTGTTTCTGCCCTAGACAGAATACTTTTTAAGGTTTACAAACTATTTGAAGCCCAAATCTTATATTCCAAGAGAAAAAGAGCAAGAGATCTAGCCTCTGTGCCTAGGCATCTACTTTTACATCTTTACCATAAGAATCTTTCTTTCTTTCTTTCTTTTCTTTTCTTTCTTTCTTTCTTTCACTTTCTTTTTCTTTCCTTTTTTCTCTTTCTTCTTTCTTCCTTCCTTTCTTTCCTCCCTCCCTCTCTCCCTCCCTCCCTTCCTTCCTTTCTTTTCCTTCCTTCTTTCCTTCCTTCCTTCCTTCCTTCCTTCCTTTCTTTCTTTCTTTCTTTCTTCCTTTCTTTCTTTCTTTCCTTCTTTCATTTCTTTCTTTTTCTTTTTCTTTCTCTCTTTTCCTTCCTTCTTCTCTCCCTTCCTCCTTCCTTCCTTTTTTCCTTTCTTCCTTTCTTTCCTCTTCTTCTCCTTTTCCCTTTTCTCCTGCTCTTCCTCCCCCTTTTTCTCCTGCTCTTCCTCCTCCTCTTCTTTCTCCCCCTTATTATTTTTGGGAGTCTTCTTTTTCAATTTGGAATTGAAAATCACCCTGAAACAAAGATAACCTTTCTGTGGGCTCTTTTCTTATGGAAAATTGTCAGAACTCAGCATTCTTGCAGTCTACTCTTCCACTCTGTAACTTTAATTATTATCTTGTTAGAGTGCTAGCCTCAAGAGAAAAAAATATATATTAATTTTTTACATTTTTATTATTATATCTTTAAGTAGTTGTATAAAGAAGTTTCCATTCTACAAAACAGTATATGAATACAAGGTGTCTGACAACATTGTTACCCGTCTCTCTTAACCCATCACTTCTCTCACTTTTTTAAAAAATTGAGATTAGGTGAATACATAAATTTCACATATTTCACAGTATTGTGGAATAGTGATACTTAGTAAAGGTCACAAACACATTTTAACCTTCATAAGGCAAATGGTCATTATCATGGTCTATAAAGTTTGTGAATTCTATGAGCTTTGACAATACAAATTATTTCTTCCACATCAGGTGATGTTTACATTTATTTTCTTTTGCTTAGTGTAGGCTGTTCCCTCTTTCCTGCAGCTGATGGGCGGGCCCCCTTTTTTATGTTGTTCTGTTTCCCACTTATTCTGTTCCTCCTTCTGGCTTCCTACCATATACATGGTCAGGAACATGGAGTTACTTACCAATGATACGACAAAGTGGGTGGTTCTCCTTTGTTTCTTGAGTCCTGTTTACTTTGTCATATCTTCTTGCATTTTGGCTTTAGTATCCACATATCAGGGAAATCATGTGCTGTTTGTCTCTTTGTTCTTGGCTTACTTTGCTCAAAATAATCTGCTCTAGTTCCATCCATTTCCCTGCAAATGCCATTATTTTGTCTGTTCTAATGGCTGCATAATATTGTATATAGGTACCACAACTTTTGGATCCACTCATCATTAGTGGGGCATCTGGGTTGTTTCCAAATCTTGGCTATTGTGAACAGTGCTGCAATAAACATGGAGGTGCATGTATCTTAGTATACTGGTTCCTGTTGTTCAGGTAGATGCCTAGGTGTGGTATGGCTGGGTCATAGGGGAGGTCTATATTTAGCTTTCTGAGGTACCTCCAGACTGCTTTCCAAAGTGGTTGTATTTATTAGTATACATTCCCACCAGCAATGCAGTAGGTTTCCTCTTTCTCCACATCCCCTCCAGCATTTGTTGTTGGTCGAATTTAGGATGGGGGCCATTCTAACTGAGGTAAAGTGGTATCTAAGGGTTGTTTTTATTTGCATTCCTTTACAGCCAGGGATGATGATGAACATTTCCTCATGTGTTTCTTTGCCATTTTTATCTCTTCTTCTGAGAAGTCTCTCTTAGTTCCCTTGCCCATTTCATGATTGGTTTATTATATTTGTGAGGGGTTTGTTTCTTGAGTTCCCTGTATATAATGGATATTAGACCCTTGTCTAATATTTTGCTGGTAAATATTTTTTCCCAGTTAGTTGGCTGTCTTTCTAGTTTCGTGCGATTTCTTTGTCTGTGCAGAAACTTTTTATTTTAAGGTAGTCCATTTGTCCAGTCTCTCTCCAATTTGTTGTGACCCTAGGACTCTGTTCAGGAAGTTCCTGCCTGTGCCTATAAGTTCAAGTGTCTCTCCTACTCTGTCCTGCAGTAGTTTCAGAGTATCAGGTTTCATGTTAAGGTCTTTAACCCATTTTGAGTTGATGTTGGTGCATGGTGATAGGCTAGGGTCCACTTTCAGTTTTCTGCATGTGGCCACCCAGTTTTCCTAGCACCAGTAGTTGATTCTTCCATTGTATGTCTTTGGCTCCTTTGTCAAATATCAACTGACTGTTGATATTTGATTTGTATGTGGCTTTATTTCTGGGTCCTCTAGTCTGTTCCATTGGTCTTTGGGTCTCTTTTTGTGCCAGTACCAAGCTGTCTTTGTTATTATAGCTCTATAGTAGAGCTTGAAATCCGGAATTGTGATTCCCTCCTGCATTGTTTCTTTTGCCTAGAATTACTTTGGCTATTGTAGGTCTTTTGTTGTTCCATATGAACTTTTGGACTGTTTTCTCGATTTCAGTAAAGTATGTCATTGGGATTTTAATGAGAATTGCATTGGATGTGTATATCAATTTTGGCAGTATGGTCATTTTCACTATATTAATTCTGCTTATCCAGGAACATGGGAGGTCTTTCTATTTCCTGGTATCCTCTATGATTCCTTTTTTAGGCTTTTATGGTTTCCATGAAATAGACCCTTTACCTCTTTGGTTAGGTTAATTCCTAGATGCTTTATATTTTTTGAAGTTATTGTGAATGGACTTGTATCCTTTATTTCCTTTTCTGCTTGTACATTGCTGGTATACAAGAAGGTGACTGATTTTTATGGATTAATTTTATATCCTGCTACTTTGCTGAGGTGGTTTATAAGCTCTAAGAGTTTGAGGTTGGAGCCTTTGGGATTTTTAAGATTTAAAAGCACGTCATCTGCAAAAAAGATAGTTTAACTTCTTCCTCCCCTATGCAGATCCCTTTAATGTCTTTTTCTTGCTTTATTTCTCTGGCTAAGGATTACAGAACTATATTGAAGAGGAGTGGGGAGAGTGGGCATCCTTGCCTTGTTCCTGTTTTTAGGGGAATTGGTTGCAGTTTTTCCCCATTAAGTTGGTCTTCATATAAGGCTTTTATTGTTTTAAGGAATGTTCCTTCTATTCTTATTTTTTCCAGAGCTTTTAACATGAATGAGTGCTGTATTTTATCAAAAGCCTTTTCTGCATCAATGGAGATAATCATGTGGTTCTTGACCTTGGATCTGTTGATGTGATGGATTACATTTATTGACATGTATGTTAAATCATCCCTGCATCTCTTGGATGAAGCTTACTTGATCATAATGTATGTTTTTTTATGTTTCTGGATTCTGTTAAAATTTTATTGAGGAGCTTTGCATCTGTGTTCATCAAAGAGATTGGTCTGTAGTTCTCTTTTTTTGTTGAGTCTTTGCCTGGTTTGGGGATGAGTGTGATATTGGATTCATAGGGTGAGTTTGGGATTACTCCTTTTGCTTCTATTTCTCTGAAGAGCTTGAGGAGTATGGGTATTAGTTCCTCTTTAAAGGTCTTATAGAATTCTGTAGTGAATCCATCTGGTCCTGGGCTTTTCCTTGTTGGAAGGCTTCTGATTGCTTCCTCTATCTCATTGTAGGTTATTGGCATATTTAATTGATTTATTTCTTCTTGGTTCAGTTTGGACAATTTGTATTTCTGCTAGGTTTTCCTTTGTGAGTATAGAGTCTAGAAATATTTCTTTATAATTTTGGCTGCCTTGGATGTTTGTTGTAATTTTTCTTGTGGCATCTCTGATCTTATTGATTTGAGTCTCCTCTCTTTTTAGTTAGTCTTGCCAGAGGTCCATCAATTTTATTGATTTTTTCAAAAAACTAGCTCTTAACCGGGCGCTGGTGGCTCACTCCTGTAATCCTAGCTACTCGGGAGGCTGAGATCTGAGGATTGTGGTTCAAAGCCAGCCTGGGCAGGAAAGTCCATGAGACTCTTATCTCCAATAAACCACTAGAAAACTGGAAATGGCACTGTGGCTCAAGCGGTAGAGCGCTCGCCTTGAGCTGAAGAGCGCAGGGAGTTCAAGCCCTGCAACCAACCAAAAAAAAAAAAAACCAAAAACAAAAACAGCTCTTTGTTTTACTAATTTTATTTATAGTTTTTTTTAGTCTCTATCTTCTTGATTTCAGCTCTTATTTTGGTTATCTAGCAACTTTAGGTTCAACTTTTCCTTGTTTCTCTAGCAGTTTTAGTTGCATCATGAGATTGTTTATTTGGTCTGTCTCTGTTTTCTTGATGTGCACACTGAGAGCAATAAATTTGCCCCTCAGGACTGCTTTTGCTGTGTCCCATAGGTTTCTTTGTGATGTGTCTTCATTTTCATTGAATTGTAGGAACTTTTAACTTCTTTAATTTCTTCTGAGACCCATGTGTTTTTCAGCCATGTGCTGTTTAATTTCCAAGTGTTTGAGTTTTTCTACTGCATGCCTTGTTATTGAGAACTAGTTTGATTTCACTATGGTCAGACAGAATACAGGGGATTATGTCGATCCTCTTGAATTTGCTTAAATTTGTTGTATGAACTAAGATATGATCTATTTTAGAAAAAGTTCCATGGGCTGCTGAGAAGAATATGTACTGGGTTGATGTGGGGTGGAAAACTCGGTATATGTCAGTTAAGTCTGCTTAAGATATGACATCATTTAATTCCGAGACTTCTTTGCCAATTCTTTTTTTTTTTGTCAGTCGTGGGGCTTGAACTCTGGGCCTGGGCGCTGTCCCTCAGCTCTTCAGCTCAAGGCGAGCTCTCTACCACTTGAG